AAAATCGGCACTTCTGGATAAATCGGAGGCACGAAGTTGAGAAGAAAAAGGAAGTAAACATTTTGGCGCAGTAACCGGCGCCGGACACACTCCGACCGGCGCCGGTTGGATTTTAATTTCCGAAAAAAATACACATGACCGGCGCCGGTCAGGCCAGAACCGGCGCCGGTTGGGTCGGATTCTGCTAAAAACACAGCGACGTGCTAGACGATTTCTGATGGGAAAACTTCATCTTCCTCAATGCTAATCAAATATTGCTTCCATACCTGATTGTTGGGTTCGAATAGACTAAAAGATGTCATTCTTTAGCCTATATAAACCCCTCAATTCATCATGCAAAGACATTCCATTCCATAGATTAATTCTTAGCTTTTATATTTTTGTTCTTGGTATTTTCTTCAAGTTCTTGAGGAGGGAAGTTCATCCTCCGAAATCATTGGTGTTTAGGTATTATTTCCTTTGTAATTTCATGTTCCATTACATTTATTATTGTATTGTGATTAATATGAGCATTAGAGGCTAATATCTTAGCTAAGGCTAGGGATGAACTTCTATGCCCACTAGGTGTTTGATAAAAGTTCTAAACCAATAAATTGTGATTTATCCTTTATATATTGATTGTTTATGACTATGGTGTACAACATAGAAGTATGTTAAATTTAGTTTATACTTGCAATTAACGTTGAAGTCTAAACTATGAACACTAAAGGATAAACATATATAGTACCGAGAATAGAAATATATCCGGTCTTATATGATACGGGTGTGATGTCTTGATATTCAACGAGGTTTTCGGTAGATGAATGTAAGCCGTAACGGGACTTACACGTAACGAAAACCACGCTCTCGCTGCCTTAACCGGAGTTGAGAATATATTAGCGACATCGTATTCATAATTATTGGCAAAGAACTAATATTCAACCCTATTTAAGCATTTAAGTGATTCCCGAAGCCTTAGTTGTTGTTATCATTTATCTTGAACTCAAAGTTAGTTAACAATTATCTTGTTGAACAAAAAGTGAAAAAACCAAAAATATAAAACACAAATCAAAATCCCTGTACTTTATTCAATTCTTCATTTAAAGTTATCTACTCTCGGACTTGAATTAAACAACGTTTCCTTGTGGATTCGACCCGGTATTTTACCGGAATTTATTACTATATCGGCACTTGTACACTTGCAAGTTTAGCCCGGTCAGGCAAGACCAAAATAAACTTCACACTTCTTCTCCCTTCCTTATTTGGAAAATTATCTACATCAAAACAGTGCAAAACAGTGCCAAATAGTGTCACAATAGTGTACTCTACAGTAAAGTCAAATTTATTTCCTTAATTTGTGTGAAATCAAAGTGTGAAGTTTATTTAGGACCGGAGGGAGTATTTAACTAGTATGTGCACGGGACAAAATACACTTTTATATTTTAAGTTTTATTACAGATTGTAGAAGTATCAGTGATGCTTCATGGTACCTACAGAGAGTGAATGACTGAATAAAAATGTTGACATCACAACTCGGTCATAATTTGGCAGCTCACCATCTTGTCAAAGGACCGAAAACCGACATCATCTTTGTAATCCTCACAGAGTTACAATGAACTTCTCATTATCGTAAAAGCCTTCATGGAGTCGATGAAGATATTTTGTACATCATTATTTAATGTTATCATTTTTGTATTTCTCAAATTATATTCTATTTTGTCCTCGTGTAAATTTCTTTTTGTTATTTATAATACTCCGTGAATGTGTAAATTTTCTCAATAATATTTATTCAGAATGTGTAAATTTCTTTACACGGTATTATAAAGATGACAAAAAGTTACACATTCACCAAGTATTATAAATATTATTGAGATAGTACTGAGATAAGTTTTGATATCTCAGTAATATTTATAATACTTGATGAATGTGTAAAAAAAATCATCTTTATAATAATGTGTAATTTTTTCAACATTATTTATTTTCGCGAGTCCAGAACTTGCCCTGTTTATTTTGATGATTTACCTTCTGAATTTATAAAAAGTTTTGTGGTCTCTAGATCTTAATAGTGATGACAACGGCAATAGTAGGCTGCATGGCATTATTTGGTAGATCTATGGCACTACAAAAAACAGGAGGCTTGTCACGAACTTTGTCAAATCCTAAATTAACGGTATTACCTAATAATATTATCAATTCAAACCCATTTAAATTAACTAATATTTACATTTAACTAATATTTGTCACGGATTTTGTCACGAATTTTTCCGTGACAAACCTTCTTCGTGACAAATCAAGCATTTCTGTGACAAAACCCGTGACAACTTTGTCACGGCCCGGATCCGTGACAAAAATCTGTGACAAATGGGCTGTTTTTTTGTAGTGTGGGCAACGACAACGACGATTATTTTATTTACTTTGAGTTATTGAGAGTATTTGATCCTATTAGATAAAATAAGTGTTATTTGATGAAAGAAGATTGCATGTTTTAACCTTTAATTGGGCAATGTTTATTTTTATCACATGTCTATTGGTAAAATGGTCATTAAAAATGCCAAGCAACACATTCAGAAAAACAGATAAATAGTATTGCTCATACTATTTTTATTAGAGTTATTAAGAGTATTTGATCTTATTAGATAAAATAAGTATTATTTAATGAAAGAAGATTGCATATTTTAGACTCTAATTGGACAATGTTTATTTTTATCACATATCTATTGGTAAAATGCTCATTAAAACTGTCAAGCAACACATTCAGAAAAACAGATAAATAGTATTGCTCGTACTATTTTTATTAGAGTTATTGAGAGTATTTGATCTTATTAAATAAAATAAGTATTATTTAGTGAAAGAAAATTGCATGTTTTAGACTTTAATTGAGCAATGTTTATTTTTATCACATTCTATTGGTAAAATGTTCATTAAAAATTTTAAGCAACACATTTATAAAAACAAATAAATAACATACCCCATATTGCGCACCCATAGTAGATTAGTAACAACACGCCAAAGATCATAAATGACTATTGTTATGTGTGATCCAAAGAGAACAAACACCAAACAATTTAGATTGATAAGTAATCATAAATCCCAAATCCCACTAAGCACAAACTAATAATGGGTTATTTCCGTGGTACCTTCAAGGTGTCATATCTTGTTCATATTGACCATTTAGACTAATTTAATTAGGTTGATAGAATATAAATAAATGATCAAATATTGGCATAGACTAATCATGTGCATTGTAATGTGATACATCATTTATGAGGTACAAGAAGTATACCTATTTTTGCTTGGTAAAGTCTCAAATAGATTCTTCTACTATTTACAATTCACCACTTAAACTCATATACTAAAACATCACTATATAAGTATGCTCTACTTAAAAAATCATCAATTTGGCCCTTTGATTGGTTTTTACCTTTAAAAGCAGATTTTTTATTTAAAAACTTTATAATTTATTAAAATTTGAAGAAATATAATAAAAAAGTGTGAACAATTTGAGAATGTGAAAGTCTATATTTTTTCATTTTTGGAATTATTTGTATATTCTACATCTTTTCTAAAGTTATAGCATTTTAATTTTATATGTTTTACACTTTCACTTCATTTTTTATTTTTTCTAATTTTTTTTATTTTTTACTTGATTTGGCGTGGTAAGAATATATATATATTTTTGAACTTATACTGATTATATATTATTATTGAATTATTTTTCAAATTTATATAGATTTGTATAAGATTAATCAATTGTTTTAGTTAATATTTTTAAAATAACCTTCTATATCAGGTTAAAATGATTTGATTGCTGGTATTTCTAAAGTGACATACTTGTTTTTGAAAATTAAAGTAACATGCTTATATAATAGGTAGTACTTTTTTTTAATATATGGACTTAAGTGATGGATTCGATATAGTAGAATGATCAATATTTCTTTCTACTTTTCTGCTTTGATCATCGCAAGGGTGTTTAAGGCACGAAATTTAAGGGACGTTAATCTGCACAAATCTCAAATACAAAATAAAATTCATGTTGTATTGCAAATGATCCAAAACATAAATTGAAAGTATTTCAAAATTGAAAATGCTAATTAAACACAATATATAAAATGAAAACAAATATTTTCCTTTTCAAAGAGAGTACACTTTAATAAGTTTTATTAAACTATCAGATACACCTATGAATTCTATTATTTGAGTGATGTTCTAGAAAGAGAAAATCAATAGCCGTTTGATAACCTCTATTTTCAGCGTATTAGTCTTATCAACAAACTTGTTAATAAACATGGAACTTTTGATTCTTTGCGCCTAATTGTATAGTGATCAAAATAAGTAAAATTGAATTTGTTTTTCTAGATGAATTGGCTGAAGCCAATGTAGAAGATCATTTTAGTGCAAATCCATTTGAGTTCAATTCTAGAAAAAATTAGGAGCCCGTTTGATAACCTCAGTTTTCAGTTTATCAATCTTATCAACCAACTTTTTTAAAACACGTAATTTTTTATTCTTCATGCTGAATTGGGTAATAATCAAATTAAGTAAGGTTGGGCTTATTTTTCTGGCTAAATTGGCAAAAGTTGTTGTAGAAGATCATTTTAGCTATTTTTATTTAAAAAAAATCTTTAATCTATTTGTAAAATCTATTTGAAATATATTTTTTTTATATAATTTTACAGATTCAACAAATTCAATTGCTTCAAGCAATTCACTATGTTTCATTATTTTTTAATGATTACTTAATAATATTCATATTGTATTCCAAATTATCCAAAACATACACTGAGAGTTTCAAAATTGAAAATGCTAATGGCATTATGTCAAATGGAAACTTTCACAATATTTTACTTTCCAATAATCAGCTTTAATTTATAAAACTATTAGATACACATTTGAATTCTATTTGAGTGCAATTCTAGAAAAAAATAAGCGGATTGCCGGATTCTACCTTGATAATCTCTGGTACACATGATAATTTAAGGGATACTAGGCAGATTATCACCATGAACCTTCTCTCTTTCTCATTCTGTTTCATTTTAATTGTATACTAATTCCTCTCTCTGTCTCTCTCTCCAATCTCTTTGGGGACAAAACTGCTCAACCACAACCAAGGAGAAAGACAGAAGAGAGATCATGATCAAATATCAATCACATTAATTACAAAAGAACTTTCCCCAAAGCAATGTCGTAAATTCTGTTAAATCGGTTTTCTTTTTTTGCAGCATTGTTAATTAATAGCTACTGAACGGAAAAGTTGGTTTTTCCGGAGGTGGATCACGATGATCTGGGTCGGTACGGTGGCGCAGACCAGTGGACGTCACCGGAATGTGGCCACTTCGCACGTTGTAATTGCGCTTATTATTGCAACGTGGTTGTTTTCGTCGTCGGCTTCATCGTTAGAAGATGAGCAAGAAATTCATGACCCCGCCGGCGCAGGGAGCTCCGGCGCGACTCTCATGGAATTCAAAACCTCCCTTGTGTTGTCCGCCAACGGCGGCGCCGTGGAGCGTGCCCTAATCTCCTGGAACACCTCGATCAGCCCATGTTCCGGGAATGTCGGGAACTGGTACGGCATGCTCTGCTTAAATGGTGACGTTATGGGCCTCCAGCTCAACGGGCTGAGCCTATCCGGAGACATTGACATCGACGCGCTGGTGCCGTTGAGATTCCTCCGGTTTCTGAGCTTCGAGAATAATGAATTTGAAGGGTTGATGCCGGATTGGAGAAAACTGGGAGCCCTCAAGTCTCTTTTCTTGTCCAATAACAGATTCAGCGGCAAAATCGACGATGATGCTTTCTCGAGCATGGGCTCTCTGAAGAAAGTTCATCTGGCGAACAATCGCTTCACCGGAAACATTCCCACTTCGCTGGCAATTACTCTGAGGCTGCTTGAGCTGAGGCTCGAAAACAATAACTTCACTGGCCCCATACCCAAGTTTCAGACAGGGCTTAAGATGTTCAATGCATCTAATAATCAACTTGAGGGGCCAATCCCTCCCACTCTCTCAGCCATGGATCCTTCTGCATTTTCCGGTATATTTTATGAAAATTGATGCAAAATTGAACGAAATATACCATTATGGTTTTAAATCTTTGTAATGTTGCGGCAATATGTGTTGTGGTCGGGGCGTAGCCGGAGTGGGCTGCCACAATGAATTTTTTGGATAAACTTTTACACACAAAAATTTATACTAATAATTTAAACATTTTTTAAATTTGAGGTAGGTTGGGGCTTAGGTTGGCCCTCTTCTAGCTCCACCAATGTTTGTGGCCGTAATGTTGTGGTAGTGGTCCCCGGGTAGCCGGCTAGCCGTATCATATTTTTAAATCAATAATTCAAATCGTAAAGTAATAATAATCGCAACATAAACACATCCGCATCGAATCAGTAAATAACTTTTTTCTTATTTCATGTGAAAATAAAACTAATTCACGCTCCATAGACTTCATGACGCTGCATGTTGCCGCAATAGCCGCAATCCGACACCAATTTTAAACCATGGATACCATTATACATGAAAATGTATAGCTAGAAGAGAGAAAATGTGATTGCAACTCGTATTCAGACTTCATCTTTAAAATGTTATGTGATGAATACCTTATGCATTGAAATTCAATTCCAAGACTCTATTTATGTCAAATACTCTCGTTTTATATCTTGTTGGAGAGATTTTATAGAATTCTAAAACAAGTATTAGGATTCATTTTTAAAATGTCTGGGGATCCTTACTTTATGCGCATAAACATGTTTGTTTATGAATAAGTGTCAGCTTATCTGTGATGCATCAATATGCAGGCAACAAGGGACTATGTGGAAAGCCTATAAACTCCGATTGCACCTCACAAAGCCCTCCACCCCCCAAATCGCCGCCGGGAACAGACGTTGGTGATGCTGAGTCTTCATTATCATATACTCTCACTGGAATTCTTATGCTCATAGCAATATGCCTCTTGGTCGTGGCCCTATTCATTGCGGCCTACCTAATTTGTCGTCCTAGTCATTTTCAGCTAGACGGAGGAGCGTTTGATCCCTTATTTTCACCCAACAACAATCCTAGCGTATCACCGTCACCTGATAGGCTCATTGGAGGTAGCACCCCGAACAATAATAGCAATCCCGGAGTAGGGGCATCCCCATCGGTCGGGAAGTTGGCATTTGTGAGAACCGATAGGACGCAATTCAACCTGCAGGACTTGCTAAGAGCATCGGCAGAAGTGTTAGGGGCTGGAGAGTTGGGGTCATCGTACAAGGCAGTATTGATTGACGGACAGGCGGTGGTGGTGAAGAGACTCAAGCATATGAACCAGGTCGGGAGAGAAGACTTCCATGAGCACATGAGACGTCTTGCTAGGCTTGAACACCCCAATTTGCTCCCTCTGGTTGCTTATTACTACAGGAAGGAAGAGAAATTGTTGATCTCTAATTTTGTCCCTAATGGTAGCTTGGCCTCTCATCTTTATGGTAAGTACATATACATACACTCACATGTATGTAGAAAGGTCACACTGAAAGGCTTTCTGGTGCACTATAAAAGCACATGAAGATAATGTTTAAGTTTAATTTACTCGTTAAATTTTTGTACGCGAAATGATTGCATGCAAAGTGTTTAGGGAAGCAATCATTTTAAATGTAAAATAGATTACATAGTTTGGTTAGATGTGTAATTTTTTTTTAATTGCATGTGAAGCCATTGCACTGCTTTATGAAATAGAAATTGCTCTAAATAGGAGCAAAAATGTTTTGAAATTCCAAAATAGGAGTATCATGTTTTTTATTCCGTGAATAGGAGTAATCTGTCAAGTTTGGGGAAAAAAATGTCATGTTTTGAAGAAGCCTAGTAACGCCAAATTTGGCAGAAAGTTACTCCTATTTAAGGAATAAAAAACATGATATTCCTATTTTGGAATTTCAAAACTTTTTTACTCATATTTAGGGAATTCACCCTTTATAAAAAGAATATGAAGTAATTTACTACCCTCCTCCCATGTAAAACGTTTTATATGATATAGTGCAAAATGTTTTTGTCCTACGATTTATTTTAATTATCAAATCAATCATTTTAAACCTTTTACATCCATAAACTCCGTATGCAAAGTAATTATTTTACATCCTACCAAATGCCCCCCAATTGAATTGAATTGTCTTCACTAATACCTGAATGAAAAATGCAGGGAAGGATCTAACTCTAGATTGGCCATCCAGATTGAGAATTATCAAAGGTGTGGCAAAAGCCTTGTCCTATCTCCACAAGGAGCTAACCAGCTTAGTACTTCCACACGGCCACCTCAAATCATCCAATGTTCTTCTTGACAAAGCCTTCAACCCAATCCTCATGGATTATGCCATGGTCCCAATCCTTAACCCCGATGAGGTTCAAAGCATCCTCGTGGCGTACAAATCACCCGAGTGTATATCCTCGCCTCATCACCCCACAAGGAAAACAGATGTCTGGACTCTGGGGGTGTTGATTCTAGAGACCTTAACAGCCACATCTTTGACCAAATACCTCAATACGCAATTGAATACATGGATCAATTCCATTGGCAAGGCATTAGAAGGGGAAGGGAGCCAACGTGAAACAATATTTGATGACAGAATCGTTGTCTCGTTGATGGATAGTCGGGTGCAAATGCAAAGACTTCTCCAAATTGGAGTGGCTTGTTGCCAAGAGGATTTGGATGCCAGATTGGAGTTAAATGAGGCTGTTGAAAGAATTGACCTTTTGAAGGAGAGGGACGACCTTTGAAATTTGATTGGTTATGATCTTTAAGGTTATTAGTTTATTGGTGTGTGTTTTGTAATTGCTACTGTATGTATGTACTTGTTTTGTAAATGCATATCAACTCTCAGCGTGATGTATATATTATTGCAAGTTGTGCCCTTGATTGCACAAAAAGTAGATGGGCTTTTCATTTAGTTTCTTTCTTTTGAATCTAACTTCATAGTGACATTTGTAACACGTAAATGTTCAAAATGTATTTTATAAATGGCTTTTGATTTACAGCCTCTTACGTTCCACTCCTCCAAATGGCATGTCATCACCATGGCAAGATGTTCACTAAAGTCATTATCACTTTCACCCATATGCTAAAAGCTATATTGTCATGTTTCTCTTTTCTTGGAGGGTTGACCTATTGTTTATTGGAGGGTTTTGGATGTGTGTAGGAGGGGGATGAGTTGTAAAGTTTTGGTTGGAGAATAAGAATGGGATACAAAAGTCAAGTAAGCCTTATATTTGAAGTTTCATTAGTTACCTGTTTAACGCGCACACACATAAATTGACGCAGCACACATGCAGCGGCCCATGGCACATTTTTCTTTTTTCTTTTTTTTCTTTTTCTTTTCCATTTGTCTTTCTTTGTTTCTCCCGTTCCCCCTTTCATCCTTGCGCAGAATACATCCAATGACTCAAGATGGACGACGGCAACGAGGAGAGGAGGAGGACGATCGAGAGATGGTGACGGGCATGATCTCTACTCCGACCAAAGAGATCGGACCACTGACCAAGGCATCTATAGGGAACATCGGCTACATGAGAAGACTACTCCAAATGAGGACATGCTCACCCTTAAGGGGTGAGAAGTTGGGGAGCTTTGCCTTGACTTTCCATCTATGGACGAGGACAACAACTAGAAATGCTCTTTTTCTTCTCAAGTATTTTCAGTGAAGGAAGTGAGGGACTCTTGATGGAGTATATGGGTTCAGATCCATGACCTCCACACTTACATGACATTCTGGCTCATCTTAACAAACATCAGATAATGCCCTCGGTCCAAAGCCACATCTGGTTGAAGCCTGAATGTACAACAAGCAGCCCATATCATTCTCATAAGGATTAACCAAGGATCAGAATGTGCACCCTCGTCCTTTGTCCCCTCGGTCGAGACTAGATGAATAAATCCTCTTCGTACAACTAAAGACTATCTCGTGTGGACTTTTCACATATGCATTCAAACGAGGATGACATGCATCCACCGACTGACACAATATAGATACTCACGTGCTATCCACATACGCACTTCAGGCAATAGTAGACTCCTTTCATATATTGTATTTTTCATACAATATTTCTTATTTTATACCCTATTTGCTACTATTTCCGTCCCATTTTATGCGTCCTACTTTGGTTTACATTTAAGTATAATAAAGTGAAATGTTGTAGATCACATATTTTTTCAAAAATGGAAATGTAACACTTATTTTGGGATAACACAAAAAGAAAATTAAGACATGTAAAATGAGATAGAGAACGTACTTTTTTCTAGTTGAAAATATTACATTTCTTCAATTGTTGGATCGAATAATATTATTATGTGATATTTTAATGATAAAGTAATTTTGAACACCTAACATTTTAGGGATCCCAACATTTTATTGGGCAACAAGGCATCTGCCCATAGAATAGTAACACATGTGTAGTGCATTAAATTTATCTCTCATTCTTTTTTTTCTTTTTGACTTCAACATGTCATATCCATTTTATGTAAATTAAAATTTATCTCTCATTCATTACTACCGTAAAGACTCTCACTTAGAGTAGTTTAAAGGTTTGATAATTATTTATTATAAAGTACTTTCTTAATTGTTGGTTCTCATTTCAAAACGAAACAATTATTTACACAATAATTAAATAAGTTAATTCAAATATATTTTGAAAAATAATTTTAATTGATATAGAATATGATGAGGTTAATGGTGATAACTGTAATGTTATAAATTTATTGTTTTTAATATTTGAAAATTAAATAATCATTTAAAAGTGTTAATTCTTTTTTAAAATAGAAATGTGAACATTTATATGGAACGTCAAAAAAAGAAGTGAGAACTTTTATATGAAAGGAAAAGAGTGAGGGGCGGATCCTATGAAACTTGAGGTATTTAAATTACTCATGCAAGTTTTACTTACCTCATACATCTTAAAAGTTTTTGGTATTTTAATTATTTTTTCCATTAAACTTTTTACATCCCTATGTCAAAGTACTACGTAATTATTTTAGATGCCCCAAACTCTCTGTTATGTTGATTACAGTATTAAAATTGAAATTACAGTATTTATCAAAATCTCCTGAATCAAGTGACCGCTGTGTAGAGATGATGGTCGTTGCAGCGACAATAACGGTCCATATTTCTTCTTGTACACACTTCTTGCCGAGTACACCCCGCCGACCACATTTTCTGTCGACTTCTACTTCTCCCGTTTTCAGTAACAGTAATCAGTACTTCATCTGCCGGAGGAATTCAATATATCTCCGAACACGCTGTTGCTCGGATTCACCGTCTTCTTCCACGCGTGGTTTTGGCACCAACGAATCCAAGGTATAAGATTCCAAGATGGATCATTGGATCTAGTATTCTCGTGATTTTTATTATTGGTATAGATTGAAGAGGACATGTTGCTATATTCTACTTTGCTAAAACTGATACTTATCGACCCCAGGTCAAGAAGAATTCTTCTACGGGCAGAAAGGATTCTAGGTACCCCCACTATACGTCTATAATGCACTTATGTAGTTATGTGCTTGTGTTCTAGGGTGTGGAAATTCTTCCAATTTTGGCACTGAAGGTTTGCAGAAAGCCAGGAAAGATATTTAAAGGCAAATAATGTTTTATTCTGTGTGCAATGAAAACTATTTAGGGAAGAATAAATTTTGATGTAGCCAATTTAACATTTTAGGGGAAAACTTGGGTAACACCCTTCAAGCTCAGAGCTTTGAGCTTCTCGTTTATACTTGTACTTTTTAGGAGCACATTCCTCATTTATTCATTTATGGGTAATGTATGTACTCTGAAATCAAAACAGTGTCATATTGTTTAACTTAGTATAACCTTCTGAAAAAAGAATGATGTTTTGGCAGAAAACCTCCCTCTCAACAATCTAGCACCAACCTTACAAGTAAGTATATGTTTATACCTTGCACGTTATTTACTACTTCATTTTTTCTGCATCATTGCCTTTTTGGTTTCCTCAAATCCTAATTGCAGATTAGTTTCACTTTTAAGTTTTAAGGTGTTTTGAATTTAAGGCCTCACTTGGTAGTATTGATCGATTTATTCTGCATACCAGCAGAACAACCAGAATAACTCCTGAATAAGCCGGAAAAGTAACCTTTGACTTACTTATTTGGTTGAATTGATTTTACCGAACAGCCAAACCCCTTTGCTTTCCACTAAATTTAGCACCAAATGAGCTCTTCTAAAGTAAAATACCGTACAGGAAGAAAGTTATTCTAGGAAGTGGAACAACATATTTGGAATCAACGTAATCTATGGCAGAGTAATTTTTCCTGAAGGCTATGGAAGCATCTTGGTATTTCTTTGATTGGATTGCCTATGCTTTCAAGTCACTCTTTTTTCCCACTTGCAGAAGCCCCTGTTCTAAATTCAAACTCAACAAAAAGTGTTTATGATAGTCAGTTTGAGGAGCGGCTGCAAGCAATTAGAAGGTGTATTTACAATGTTCATATTTTACGTAATTATGCCACTGAGAACAAAATATTAACCAATGCACAGTAAATGTTTGATTTTACAAGTGCTTCCATAACTTGGTTAGGTCAACATTGGAGCAGAAAAAAGCCGAGGAAGGAAATCTGTTTGGAGCAATTGATTATGATACTCCAGCAGAGATCAAAAGTAGCAGAGTTGGATTAGGTACTAAGGTAACATTCCTGACTTGTGCATAATTCTTACGAGTGTAGCTCTTTACCAAAATATGGATTAAGAATAGCAACATCATGGAATTGTACAGATTGGAGTAGGAGTCGCCGTTGTGGTCTTTGGGTTGGTTTTTACCCTTGGCGACTTTCTTCCAACTGGAAGGTGTGGTTTGAATACTCTAGCTGCAGAGCTATGTTTACTTTCAGTTTTGTAACATTCTTTCTAAACATCATTTATTCTACAATTCCTAGACATATACCAATATAGATCCAATATATTATTATATGCTTGAGTTTTTGTTGCTTAATTAAATTTTGTCAATGTCTCAGAAATTAAAAATATGAAATGAAATTGTTAGGTGGGTAAATCCTTATTAACCATATCTCATAAATGTTATTATCTTCTCTAAACCATCATCATGTCTTGTATTTCTTCGCAAGTCAAATATGAGCCTAATATAGCTTTTGGATGTGTAGTGTTAGTCCCACAAATGAAGTCACTACAGCTGATAAGAAAATATCAGAAGAAGAGAAAGCAAATCTTCAGGTAAAATATTTGACATTAATTGGACCACTTTCAAAGATTCAGTTGTACATTAGTACAAGTGTGAATTGTTTTTTTCAGCTCGGTGATATAAAAAAATATTAAATAACATATTACCAATTTGTGTTGTACTTCTCTCAGTTTTCTAAGTCTATAGATTGCCAAACTCTTCTTCAAGCTTCTGTTTCAACCTATTTGAACGCTTTTGAATGTGAAAAGGGGCAGTTTTTACCTCATGTAATCTCTATTATGTAGTAGCAATATGTTTTCATATTCATAAAGGAAGTTTGCGTAGAGACATCATAGATGTGTTGAGTGCATGTGCACAACTATTTAAACATGTGTCTAAACTCTTAATATGCTCTATGTAACATTTGATATGTGCATGTGTCTTGATGTACTGTTATCTCTCTATAAATTGTAGTGATGTTGTATGAGAGGGATGTTAATAAGATTAACAAGAATATTTACTGCATGTGTACAGGTATTTGAGCATTTGTCTAAACTCTTCATATGCTATGTGTGACCTTTGATATGCCTTTATCTCTTGATGTACTCCTACCTCTATAAGTATTGATCATGATGTATGATAGGGATGATAATAAGAATAATAATATTTCCTCTGTTTTACAAGATGGAATCCATATAAGATTATTTTCAAGCTGCAGAAACTTTACTTTTGCTTCTTTATTCGATTACTTTATTTTATTGTTTGCACTAGAAATTTATTTTTAATCCCTCCCAGTTGTCCCTTCTTCTCTTAGATATTATATTACCTGTTTCTCTAATAAATTTCCTTGCTGATGATTTTGAGACATCATTCCCAACCGTTTTCACAGAAGAGGTTGAAGCAGTTTGAGGACACCCTTGCTACCTCCCCAGAAGATCCAACAGCCCTTGAAGTTAGTTGTGGACTTGTGTTATTCGTTTTGTAACTTCATACCGTATAGTTCCACTTTAATGTATTTTAGCTCATGCTCATAAATTTTAGAGTAGTTTGTTAATCAATTGAGAGTAGATATATCTAAGAATTATTAATTGATTAAATAGAAAAGAATTAGCATGATTTCCTAGAAGTTTCTTTTAGTATCATTTGTCATTTTTTACTTGTTCTCTAGATTAACTTCTGTTCCTGTCCTACAATTTGATATGGGGGTTAACAATTTTTTTATTCTTTGATGATGCATTAGAGATAATAATAATAATTCTGCAGTGCCCATATTTGACATGACACCTTCTTAAATCTTCTCTGTGCAATTGCTGTGATCTTGTGGTGCAAAGTACAATTAACTACTCCCACAATCCCAAAAAATAGTTTTGTTTGTTCAAGTGCAACTTTTTATTTGTACTTTTGTAGTGAACTCAATCAAGGTCAACTTATTCAAAGGTTTTAATGAATAATTGCTTAGAACTGCTTGGCTTGGCTTTGCAGACTCTTTTTGGGACACAAAAAAGAAACTTAAATCGTGACATTTTTTGGGAGGAATGCAGTATATTTTAATTTTCTTTGGTTTAACTATTTGTGCCCTTAGGTCGAGTTCACAACTCACAATTGTTGTGGTGGTTTGCAGGGAGCAGCTGTGACCTTAGCAGAGCTAGGAGAGTACAACCGAGCCTCCTCTCTCCTCGAGAATTTGACTAAGGTTTCTTTTGCCAAAAAGTTTTATTACTTTGGATGGGAAAAAAACTAATGTTTCCATATCACAATTTGATGCAACATAAGAAATCATCTGTTTGCATTGCAGAAGAAGCCTAATGATCCTGATATTTTTCGGTTGCTCGGAGAGGTTAAGTATGAACTTAGAGATTATGAGGGTAGCGCTGCTGCTTTTACAAGTTCTGCATTGGTCAGTAGTCTTCATCTATGGTTTCATTCACATATTTTATAGCAAATCATCCTCACAGTTGTTAACACACGGTGCTTGTGTAATGCCAAACGAGACTCTGCTTTCCACATATGTGTGAATGTTTTTACTTAGATATTTTTTCGTTGGTCATATTTATACTTGTTTGGCCTCGTTATAGGTGTCAAAGTCTACTGATTTTGATGTTCTTCGAGGCTTAACCAATGCACTAATTGCTGCCAAGAAACCTGATCAGGTTGGCGAACTCACTGCACTAATAGCTTCTCAGTTCTCGCACTTAAAAAATATCATCTACGTCTCATTGTACATTGCCAACATTGAATTAGGCGAGAAATAAGAAAAGTAAAAATTGTGTGATTGAGGTTTATGCAGAGGAGAGAATAATGAGCAGACCTACAAATTAGTTACTCCCTCCGTCCCATAAAATTCTTCCCACTTTCCTTTTTGGGCCGTTCCAAAAAATTCTTCTCGCTTACCATTTTTGGACAATTTGTGTGGTTCACATTCATTTCACCTTTTTCTTACACAACTACAACCACACATTTCCACTTTATTCTACTTTCTTAATCTCCGTGCCAAGTCAAAGTGGGAATAATTTTATGGGACGGAGGGAGTACTTTAATAGAAAAGTTACAAAGTGTTTGGGACAACCAAAAAAGAAAAGTTGGCGAAGTCCAATGGGAGGAGAGAGTATTAAATTTTCATTTTCATTTTCATTTACCCCAGTGCCGCAAAGGCTCCCACCTACGGTGGGGTAAGGGGGGTCGGATGTACGCAGTCTTACCCCTGTACTAAAGCACAGAGAGATTGTTTCCGAATGACCCATAGTGAAAATCCTGTCCAAAATTGCATGAACTGACTGCTGTTTCATAACAAAGAAGCGCAGACAGTTTAGTGAGTCATTTTGCTTTATTCCATCATAATCTCAAGCCAAAAAATAATGAATCTTTGACTCCATTGCAAATGATGGAAAGGAGAGAGTATTAAATATAAAAAAATTAATTGCATTTGTAAAAACAAACTATAATAAGATTGATTTACTATTGGGATGTCAGATACTCTCACTATCCCAAAATAATGTTCATTGTACAAAAGTATACGCCATATTAAAAACCATTTTAGAGGAGCTAATATGGAAATTTTGAAAGATATTTGGAAGCCATGTACAGATTTATTAAATAGATAGTTACACACACAAAAAAAACTTTGGCTAAAATGTGAATTATTTTGGGACATTAACATACTGTAAATTTGTCCATGCAATTGCAGTTGCCTTCTATACTCCCACATGTTTTATCACCAGCACTTAACTTTTTTAAGGAAAAAAAAATTCTCCAATGCAGTAAACTGCAGTGAATCTAAATTGCATTTATGACCCACATGCTTCTTGTGCAGGCTGTCCAAATGCTTTTGACATCACGTGAACGCCTGAGTGAAGAAAAATCATCTGGTGTTAATGGATCTGACATGGATGACACCAAATCTAGTCAACAAGTAGATCCCATTCAAGTATGTTGAGAGAGAGGGAGGCCATTTTGGTTTGTTATGACGAAAAGTACTTTGATTTTGGGGCGTTTATAATCCACTTTCCATCATAACGAAAACATATGAGTTTGTGTGGAAATGAATCAAAGTCAGATCAAATTACTACTTTTCACAAGGGGAAGTGGATTATATTCCACTTTGATCACTTTCCCGGAAAACACCAAAGACCCTTATTCTTTTACTTTCCATGGAAAGTGAAACAACCAAGGATGAGATGTGAAAGTGATTCTTTTAAGCAGGTAAATGAAAGCCCACTTCGACCACTTTCCAAGAAATGTATCAAACTGCTGATACTCCTCCCATTTAACCCCCCCCCCCCCCCCCCCCCCCCGCCATGCCTAGACTAAATGTTTTGCTCCTAAATGTAGTAATGTTTATAAATTAAGCCAATGATTTGTTTTTGGGTTTCAAAAGGTTGACTTGCTTCTTGGGAAAGCCTACTCAGATTGGGGGCATGTCAGTGATGCTTTAGCTGTTTATGATAAACTCATCTCTAGCCACCCCAATGATTTTAGGGGCTACCTAGCAAAGGTTGTTTCTACGTTTTTTGTTGATAACACTCATTTACCAACTTTTACCAACTTAAAGTTTATTAATATTATTTGTGTTTGACAGGGTATCATTTTGAAAGAGAATGGAAACATTGGAGATGCAGAGAGAATGTTTATCCAGGTGAGTATATGAAAGTGCAAGCTTTCTTTATCTCATCTTTTTTATCTTATCTTATCTTTCTTATTTTTCTTATCTTTTTATCTCTAATTTCATTTGTCGATTCATGTTAACCGGCCCCAAACTCTTTGGGGACTAAGGCTTGGGTGTTGATGTTTTTTATTGCAACAACAGGCACGATTCTTTGCACCTGGGAATGCAAAGACACTTGTCGATAAATATTCAAGGTGACAATTGCACCACCTTTGATGCACGGAGATTTGTTTTGGTGACATCATCCCCAAACGTTGACTATATGATGCCTTCGCTTGTAAAAATGTAAACACCAAAATATCAGACTGCTCCTAAATCATTTCTTGGAATGTGATCAAATTGGACTTTCATAACCACACTAATGTATCCTTTTGTCAGAAAACATCTCATGTGGATTTGAGACCAAATAGGCTTTTCTTGCTGGCTGACATTGGTGAGTATGGTCAAGCCTCCCTCGCCTTATTACGCGTCAGCCAGTCTTATTGACAATTAATGTTAGACGTTTGAGTCCACTTCTTGACCTGTTTTGAGTTTTGATGACCAGTGGCCTATCATTGATTGAAGATAAGTGGTGGACAACTAGTTTTGTCACAAAAAAGTGGTGGTTTGCCAAGCATGTTTTATCAAGTACGACTATACTAGACTTGTGACGCATTGTAGAATAAGCTAAAACTGCATATTAATATACTTATCAAGTCCTCTAACCAACAATGGGGACTGAGCTTTTCAGAACTCAACCTATTAACTCGCCCACCATTGTTGATATTTCATTAGTGTTGTGAATTTGTGTTTTGTGAACAATTGTTTCTTCATTCAATATAGTTGGTGCTGTAATATCTTTTTCCAAATCTAATGTCAGGTGCATGCAATATGTTCTTCCGTTTATGCATGGTACGACACTACAACTGGAGTTGATTATCTTGACGTTTACAAAATCAATTGGCTGTAGTCCAACTATAATTACCCATTATTATTGCCCTCTTTTATTAAAGCAAATTCAACATCCTAATTTAGCCACAAATTGCTTGCAAGTCCTGAAAATATATGTAGCAAAAGCAGAGATCTTACAATAAATGATGTAATCGAGGATGTATTATGGTAGATCATGTTTGGTCTTGGTTGACTTAATAAATACTACATTCCCGTTCAAATGTTCTCATTGCAAAAAGGTACGGTTATTTATAGAGAGATTTTCCTAAATAAGACTAAAAGAATGTATAATTGTAAAAACAGGACTACTATGTTTTATTGGACAAAAATAGGACTAAAAAGAGCTAAACTGACGAAAATACCCCTAATGAAAAAATTACGCACACCAGGTCTCTGCTGCGCATGTTTCCCCTTCCCCTTTCTGCGCAGGTTTCCCCTTCCCCTTGTTGCGCAGGTGTGTCGTATGCGCATGTTTGGAGTCGACGCCTCCACCATTGGCATCTCTGCCACTATCCATGAAGTCTGCCACCATCGCCACCACTCAGCTAGTACGCTGCCATCACTCTCCAACAAAGATTTGCCCTGAAGTGAGTCAATGCATATCTCCATGAGGAATGACACTTCATATGCGAGAATGCCACTTAATATGCATAATGACACAATAATGACAATTTCGTATAGAGAAATGGCATTCTCAATATGACATTTTCAAATACCGTAATGACATAAAAGTGACATTTTTTAAAAATACTCATTAATAATGACATTCTACTATTCAAAAGTGGCATTTTCTGGAATCATTAGTCAGAGCATTTTGAGAATCAAATTAATCAAAATTGATAACAAAAAATTCAAGTTCAGATATATCTTCATTTGGAACTTTCAAAATTCAAAATTTTATTTAAAATTTGATTGATAAAAAACTAAAAAAAAGCAGAAAACTAGGAAGAAGAAGAAGAAGAAGAAGAAGAAGAGGAGGAGGAGGAGGAGGAGGAGGAGGAGGGGGAGGAAGAAGAAGAAGAGTACATACCTGTCTTGGCTATTGCAGCAGAGGTCGTCGACGGCGGAGCTATGGTGTTATGAGGCTACGATCGATGGCGGAGTGCGGCCATGGTGGAGTAAAGAATCGCGGAAGATGAATGGCTTAGAGGAAGATGAAATTGGCGATCGATTGCAGAGGGTTAGGTTAATGAGGGGTAAAAATGTAATCTTTAGTCCTATTTAGGCAATTTAAAACTTGAAGTCCTATTTTAGAGTTTTAACCATGTTTTAGTCCCATTTAATATAATTTCTTTTATTTATACAATAATTAAATATAATAATTCGAATATATTTTAAGAAATAGTTTTGATGAGTTTGTAATATAATGGGATTATTGATGATAATTATGATGTTATAGATATATTATTTTTAAAATATTTTAACACTATTTTAGGAAACAATTAACATTCTTAAATAATATGGAGTAATAATATAATGGAGTGTATCGTTTCCCAAATAGAAAATCGGAACTTTTAGTTGAGATGTTTAAAAAAGAAAAGTGATCTTTGAATGGGATGGATGGAGCACCTTTTGTTGGCTAATTCGTAGCAAGTAGCAAGTAGCAAGTAGCAATAGGGGCCAGGGATGGATTTAAAGGGGGCGCGGGGGGCGACCGTCCCCCTTGGACTTTCAAATTTTTTTATTATATATGTAATATTTTTCATACTTTAATTAGATATATATGTTTTCGCCCCCCTTAACTTTTAGTTTTAAAAATTTATATATAGCATTACATAATGTAATACATAATTGGAGATTTAAAAAAAGTAACATCTAAAATAATTTATTTAACTTGAATGAATAAACAATAGCACAACCCATTGTTTAAGACATACGACATCTATTATATAAGGGGAAAATAATTTAATTATCCCAAACTTTGAAGATGTGGGATGTAAACACCCCAAACTTTCATATGTAATATTTATATCTCAAACTTTATATAAAAAGTAATATTAGTACCATGAAAATATGTTTTTTTCATTCACAATGTATATTTATGATGCTTTAACGACATCTCTATAAATGTTTAACTATTTTAAAACATGTGGTTAACACCATAAGTTTACATTTTTGAATAAAAACTACATAGTAATGTTACACATGTAGGTTTGGGGTACTTAACTCACCCTTTTAAAATTTGGGGTATTTAAATTATTTTCTCCATTATATAAAAATTTCTAGCTTTGTAATATTTAATTGTCTTTATTAGATAATTAGTACTCAATTTTGTAAAATATCGAACAATATTAAATAGCATACACACTAGTTAAATAATTTTTAGATCATGTGAAGTGAATCTAAAATATAAATGTTTATTGACATTAAATTGCACAATTCATTTACTTATTACTTTCTAAAAACAATTTGTTGAATATATAGATAATAAACTTGAACTTAATGTAGCATTAATACAAATACAATATGCACCATATATGTGAATTAACAATACTATGTATAATATTATTCTAGAATAATAATATCACACATACTATTGTAATATTAAGAAAACTTCTCGTGACCCACGAACACCATCCTTAGTAGACAAAAATTGCAATTCAAAAACCAATTCTTTATTCTAATAAGATCCATATGGATAAAATAGGCAGAAGTTATTTAAAAATCTTGGTTGATGTGTACCTTTTAAACTATTTATCTTCAAATAATTTTCATTTGATTTGTCATTTCTTATGCTTTAATGTATCAATACTTTTTTTAGAGCATTTACAATTAAAAAATTAAAATTATTTTTCCATTTTTTAAACATAGAATGTAATATTCTTTCAAAAAAACTTAGAATGTAATAGATTTAAATATCATCGTGTATGTACCGATGGATTTTTTTGAATGAAAATTAGGCGCAAAGCTCTATGCTAGCAAAAAAAATCACCCCGCTACACAAGCGGAAAAAATTGCCACGATACACTAGCGAATTTTTTTCGCCCCCTATACTAACAGAAAAAATTCGCCCCCCTTGACTCGATATCCGGGATCCGTCCCTGAATAGGGGTGGATTGAATCCGGACGACCTGACCCGAGACCAGTACTGTTTGGACCCAGAACCGGTATCGGACCAAACCGGATTGGTACCGAGCTTTAACTATTTAGAATCAGGACTGGCCGAGCTTGAGCTCAAGCCCGACCCGGACCAGTCCGGCCGGTCCGGTTCCATCCCTAAGTAATAAGCCATGAGCCATCTCAACTTACTTTAGCGAGTATTTTGTACATCTATTTCAAAAGGGAATTTATCATTGACCTCCCTTGAGGTTTGATGCATTATCCTTTAATGATGATTAAATAACTTTTAATCTACATTTAGAGAAAGTTATAGATATAATTTCATAATTTTTCTTTGTGTCCGCTTTTAATACTGTTATTTTACCCATTCATAAATTTGGTCGGGTAATTAATAATTTTGTCCAAACTAAAGATCTTTCTATCGGAAGTCGAACCAGATAAAAAAATGATCAAAACTGACCTCAATCTAGATAGTTCATTTTATGCCTTTGAATTTGTAAAGTGAGTAAATTTACTCAAATGAAAATGACCAAAGTATGCTAAATTTGACAAAATTTGAAACAAATCAATTTAAATGAACCAAACCAACTCAAAAGTGAAGTTTATTATTCGATTTTACCATTAAAATTGAATTCAAGAAAATTCCCAATTTAGCACTTTAGACGCTCTTTGTTATCACTGAAAATGAGATCATTATAGGTATAAGGAAAAGGGGGCAAATAAGCCAACGTACTAACCAAAAAAGGTCAAATAAGCCCTTATATAGGAGACTATAGCCAGCCGTCGTCATTTGGGGCGGTTCCCGGTAGAAATTTTTTATGCAGGTTTTTGAGCATATTATTCTTTAACGATGTTTGGCACAACTAGCTGAAAAGATACTTTTGTCACCTTTTTAATAACTGTTAGCTTTTAGTGGTATACAAGCTGTTAGGACTAATTAATACTAAAAGTCACGGGCTTTTTTCAGATGATACTCCATGTAGCATCTCAAAAAGATCTTTTAATTTTTGAAAAGCTCTTAAAAATTGTCATGCCAAACATATAACTAAAAGCTTTTAGAGACTTTTTGAACAGTACAAAAGCTAGAAGGTAAAGACTTATGTCTTCCAAACATAGCCTAAGTCTAATTTACTCATACCAAATTTCAGCTAAAACGTCAATCGGGAAGGCATTCAAATGAATTCTTGAAGATAATTGTGCAGTTAAAAGCGCAGTTATCTTCAAGAATTTATTTGAATGCCTTCCCGATTGAATTGTTAGCTGAAATTTGGTATGAGTAAACTACACTTAATGATTAAGATTCTCAAAACATTTCATCAAAATATTCCACCGGGAACCGCTCCAAATGGTGACAGCCGGACAGGGCCTCATATATAAGGGCTTATTTGACCTTTTTTGTTAGTACGTGGGCTTATTTGCCCCTTTTTCCTAGGTATAATAATAACTTGTAAATTAATATTTTACCAAATATGAACATGTTTACATGTAAAATAATGATAAAATCATTTCAGTTTAGGACGGGTTCCACATTCAAACTGGTTAGTGCTAAATAATTAGGGCATCCCATGACCTTATCTTCGGTTCCAATCCCCTAATTAGTCTAGGTTCACTCTCGATAATTTAAATATTTCTGACTATCTATTTTTCAACTTTTAAATGAACTATAACCCGTTTTAAAATGTTCTCAATGGTTTTAATGAAAAAAATATGAACGGGGTCAAAACATGGGCTCCAATCTCGGTCTCAAAAACTGGGGCCTGAGGTCACTTTTTCACCAGACTGGTCTCAGTCCCGATCTAAAATCTTAATTCAAAAATCGGTCATTCCTGAGATCGGGCCTTGTTCTCCCCTAATATAAACCACAAAAGTAAGCATTTCCCATACAAATTTACAATATGTATCAATATTCTCCTAAAAGTTCTTCATCGGAAAGTACGTGTTCCCGCAAAAAAATTACTTTATGGTGGAAAGATTCTTAATACATGTAAATTTATTAATTATTAGATTGAATCTACAAGTGAGTAAATTTATAAAACTAAATTTATACTTTTCTTAAACGTAATTAGGAGCTATTAAGCATACATTAAAGGACTGAGAAGGGGGTAAGCGTGTATTTTTAATAGTGCAGGGGTCTAGGTGATAATACGTAAAACCTCGAGGGAGTCAAAGATAATTTCCCATTTCAACATGATATGACCAATTACACAAAAATGCAATAAGTTAAAAATACAATGAAAAAATAAAAAAGTACTCCTCTTAAAATTTGACCAAATTTAATTAGTGTGGAGAATAATAAAGAAAATTGTGTCGTTGACATTTGTGCAGAGGAAAAAAAATTATCATGAATCATAATTTTTTAATTAAAAGAAAATTGAAAAAATTAGTGAGACGATTAAAATGAAAAAGTTGACAAAATTTTAAGAGATGAAGGGTGTGTCATCAATATATGTGCCCAAAATGTCTCTCCCATATTGGTCAAAATGAAAGGGACTAAGAGCCGGTCTCTCCCATTTTATCTCCAAACATGGAACTTGATTTTGCACGCTAAACTTTGTAATAGTCAAAATAAATAAGCTTGGAAATACTTACTGAATTGACTTAAATTACTGTAGGGGCCATTTTAGGCATATTTCATATAATTTTTTCTTTAACTTATTAGTAAAATATATTTTAAATATAATTTTTCATCAATCAACAACATGAGACAATCCTATCAGTTCAATCTAGGGATGGACTCGGGCCGGGTCAACCGGACCGAAACCGACCCGGCCCGGTACTGTTACGAACTGGCCCGACCCGCACCCGAGTCTGAGTCGGGTGCAATATACTTGAACCGCAATTTTTTGGGGCGGGCTCCGGGTCTCAAAAAATGAACCAGCTCGGGCCAAAAAAAAATTGTTTATTTTTCAAATTCTTTGGGAGGTAAATGGGTTGGGCTCGGTGTTTTGGATAGGGATGGCAACGGGGCGGATCGGGGACGGGTACACATAAAACTGAAACCACCCCGTTGGATAAATGTTTGCCCCGAAACTGCCCCATTACCCGTTCCGGTAATTTGATTTGAACCGTACCCATCTCAACGGGGAATCGGTTTATTCACGGGTAACCGTTTCCCCAAATGCTCTTAAATAACCAATTTCTAATCCTAATGTAAACATCTGTTATAGTAAATTATATATTCAAAGCCCCGATTTCTTTTTCGATTTACATCCCATTTTGTATACACACTCCGTATCCAATTTTGCTAATTCTTAATGATGTAAAAACTACAAAATTAGGCATCGAGCAAACTCACCAAACTAGGCTTGGACTCGGGCCGGGTGGCCCGACCCGAGACCGGCCCGGGACCGGTACTATGTTGAACCAGCCCGGGCCGGTGGCCCGGCCAGTGACCGGTCCGGGTAGGCCCGGTCCGGGGGGTTCCCGGTGCGGGCCCGGGAGGGTTCCCGGTGTGGGCCCGGCCCGGGGGGTTCCCGGTGCGGGCTCGGGGCCCGGCCCGGGGGGTTCCCGGTGCGGGCTCGGGGCCCGGCCCGGGGGGTTCCCGGTGCGGGCCCGATTTTAAGCTTTTTAATTTTTTCCCAATTTTTTTAACTTTTCAGGTTGGGGTGGGTATTTGGGCCATTTGGGGTGGTTTGGGGGGTTGGGGTGGGAGCGGGGTTAATTAGGAAAAGGAAACAAAATATTAAAACAGAAGCCCAGACCGGACCCGGTGGCTACCCGGCCCGGACCGGACCCGGTGGCTACCCGGGCAAGTCCCGGGCCCACCTGTAATAACCCAGAGGCCCGACCGGGCCTAGACCCGACCGGGCCCGAACCGGCTCGAGTCCAAGACTACACCAAACTCTAATACACACTTTGTATTAATCACAAGATAGACATCGAGCAAACTCGCTAAACTGTAATACACACTGTGTATTAACCACAAGAAAAGTTACCTTTGACATGAGTGATTCTGAAAATAGAAGAAAGAAGAAACTGGGTAAAACCGTAAAATCCTTGATAATGAGAGAGATTAGAAGTCACCGATGGTAGAACCATTTAGTATATATTACTTATTATTCTTATATATAAAAAGTTATAATAATTTATTAATAATGTCACGATGCGGGTACCCGCACCATTAGTGAACGGGACGGTTTGGGGCTTATAACGGGGAAGATTAGTATAGAACCATAACTGCACCATTATCCATTTAAAAAAACCGGGTATTCCTAGCCCCGTACCCGTTCCCCAGTCAAACCAGTTTTCCCCATTTTGACCAAACCAGTTCGACGCGGGTAGTGATGGACCCGAGCCGGTTCCGGGTTGATACCAGGTCCGGGCCTAACCGGGTCAGGCCAGGCCAGGTCCGGTTCCATGTTTAAATTTTTTTTTTTTGCCTTTCTTGTTACCCCCCCCCCCCCCCCCCGAAACCTCCCCAAAACACCCAACCCTACCCTACGAAAAGAAAAAACATTGAAAAAAAAAATTGAACTGGGCCCAGCCCGAACCGCCCGGGCCGGTTCAACAAAAGTTGGACCCGAGCCCGGCCCGCCCAAACGGGCTAAAAGCCCGGAACCGGCCAACCGATTCTGGTCCGGTCTGGGCCCGCATAGTAGCGGGCCGATTCCGGGCCAAGCCGGTTCTGAGCCAGGCCGAGCCGGGCCGGTTTAGTCCATCCCTAGGCGCGGGTATCCAACGGGTCGGCCGGAATTGCCATCTCTAGTTTCGGAGGGGTTTGGGGTGTGGAGGGGGTAGGAAGTAATTAGAAAATCAAAAAAAATAATAATGTACCCAGCCCAACACGAACCCGATAGCTACCCGGGCCGGTTCCGGGTCTCAACAACACAAAAAAAGCCCGGCCGGGCCTGGCCTGAGGCCCAACCCGAGTCCATGCCTAGTTCAATCAGAACTTTAAAAATTTTAACGGAACAACAACTCAACCAATTTTGTTTTGTTGTTACCAAACAGGCTCTAAAAAGTGACAAAACTATCTAACTGATGACAGGTTCTTTTGGTCTAATAAAATTGATAACCAAAATACCAAATGGAACATCAGTTTCTCTAGAGCTTCACATCAGTATATATAAAACAGCCTAAATTGAATATGAATATAAATATAAATTATATCAACATGAAGAGGGATTTCATAAGTTTACAGAAGGAAGTTAACTAGTAAAAAGAATAATTACAAAAGGTTACAGTGAAAGTGAAATACATTAGCAGCTTTGAGTAAAGTTGCAACACAACGGAATAGACCACATGCCTATAGCAGTTTGGTATATTTACAAGCTTACATCACCTCCCTTTCGGAAACACAGAGCCCTGAAAAAATGAGGTGGAGTAAACACAGGGAGGCAGTTTTGCACCAAGTATTCCTATCAATAAAACATTAGAAAATATAATTAGTTTATTAGTTCCTACATTATAAAAATAAATATATATAACAATTTTGATTAACAAATTAAAAGAAATCGTAAATTTATCATTAAATCTTGATTATTCATATTACAGTAGTACTGAACAATTCTTATACATTGTCCGGTAAATGCACGCTTTAAATCTAAAGCATTACTAGACAATTGCTCTCACCTTAGACAACAATTTAGTTGTTGTTAAGTTCTATCATTAGTCTTCCTCATCCTGAGAGCGGGCAGCTTCTGTCACTGTTCAATAATTAAGCACCAGTAAGTTTGTCCCGCACAGAAAAATAATTTATGTAATTAACCATCCATAAATCATATTTTTAAGCATTCAGCAGAGCACATCAAACAGGGCTACCAGCATCTAAAACAGAAAAGAAAAGTGATAAAGTGATAACATGGAAAACAGACAGTTAAAATATTAAATACGATCTGACACAGCATGGCATACTCAAATCATAGATTTAGCATTTGATTGTACATACTTACAGACAAATGTATTGTATGCATACGTATAAATCACAATATGCAACAGATATGAACAAAAATGTGTCCAAAACAAAATTGTATAGCAGTGTATAGCAACAGATTGCAAGAATAGTGATTTCAATACTGAACCGCACGATTCAATCTGGTAGTTGGTCACGACTGAATCCCTAACGGGTCACGCGACCATTTCTTTAAAAAACTTCTAGGATTGTTTTTGTAACACTTTTCTCTTATAAGAAGGGAGTGAAACTTCCGATTGACTAAAACGGCAGATTATATAGTCCAAAATACATAGTTTTGAACTCCTAAACCTTGGAAACTTAAATGCCACAAATGTTAGGCGAAGATCTAAGTATCTAACAAGAAAGGAGATGACAGTGACATAGAAAAGATAATTGGAAAACGCAGAACTATAAGAGATCGAATAATCTGATTAGGAGGTAGAGGAAGAGGATGAACTCTCTGATGTTGTTCTTGGGGACAAGGTAGTTAGTACTTACAATTCATGTGATACAAATCGTGAAATGAGACCAGATCGAACCCAGGAATGAAGCACATGAATCAATATTTTAAGATTGGGCCAAATGATTTTATTTGGTCATAATTTAAGCCTGAGCCCACATCAGGTTTCACAACCATATCATAAAACAACTTCTAGAATTGCTTTTGGCACCGTGTTTCTCTATGATAACTGAAAATGAAAAACGAGAGCTTGAATTTGGAAGTTAGATTTCATGGAATATATGATCGAGGGGAAAACGGATAATCAGTCACTGATAACCAGTGTACTGATGAAAATATATGATATTTTTGTCATTTTTGAATTTTCCGTATGGCTCTGAATTGGAAAATGTTCTGAACGTCAGGTATGATTTACGACCTTATGTTATTGATGGAGTATATTGTTATACATCCCAAGGGATTAGACAAGACGGTCCAAGACAGTAGCATGAGCCACCCATACGGTGGGCCAAGGCCCTGCGCCTAAGCCGAGATCGCACCTTGCGCCAAAATCTCTGCTGGCGAGCCTATTCCACTCTGGATTGAGCCTGATGGTTACCACAACAGGATTTCACACTGACGCTGCCGGATGAGGCTGATCGGATGTGATCCGTCTCAGCTTGGTTAGAGTTTCTACACTTAGTCATTTCCCAAGCCCAAACATGTGGACATCCAGGGCTTGTGTCATAGCAGCTACCGTTTCCATCACATGCCCAATTTCCAAACGGCTGCCATCACCAATGACATCATTGTGCAGTTTCCAAGGGCTGTCGTCGTCCCACATCACCATGAGGTAAGTAGGCATGTTCTCCAAATATTCAAGGACACTTGTCATTTCCTCATTAGCTAGGGCTCAAGGCTCAAACCTTGTATTTTTGCCTATAAATAGCCATTTTCCCCTTTGGGAAAGGAACCTGAAATTGATTGTACTGTTATTTTGCCAAATTTATTGTACAACTTTCTCACTCTAGATTTGCTCCAGCTTCTCTCTGCCCCGGATTCCATAAGGCCATAAACCATCAGTTACTTTTCTTACGCTGCCTGTTTTTAGTTTTTTACTAATGTATACTAACTGCAATTTTAACGTGTCCCTATTGATTTCTCAAGGAAATTAAGAAACAAAGTAGGGTCATAAATAATGTAAAGAAGTACTCACTCCATCCCAAAATGATTTGCAAAGTCAACTTTTCTTGGTCAATACAATTTCACTTTATCTACTTATTTAACATTTCATTTTTTTATTACATTCTAATTTGAATTTTGCAACTTTGAAGATCTTTTAATGTAGTTTCCGAATATGTAAATTTTAATTATTGAACTACCTGCAGGGATGACATAACTTTATCATTGGTAAACCTTAAAATCTGCAAATTGCAATTCAATATGGAAAAATGAAAGAGAATGAGAAAAATAAGAAAATGTAGGGAAGAGTGTATGAGACAATAAGGTAGAAGTTATCAAATATGGAAATGGGAAAAATAAAACAAAACCATCCCAAAAAGGAATAAGGGACATCTAAGAAAGATGAAGTACTACAGTACTATACTTTTATTAGTCATATATCTTACAAGATGCTAGTCATGATTCACAAAATGGGTCTTGCTATTCATGTCTTGAATCTCAATTTGATAACCTTGCCGGGGATGATCAGCTGGACTCCTGGACTAGACTGTGAAGTTGGATGTTGGTTATTTTAGATTAAATTGTCTAGGGAAAAGCCAGCCACTATGTACCAATGAAGTGATGAAAATACGAGGTATAAGATATTTTTGTTATATTGAACTTTGATGTATGAATCAGATCAGAAAATATTTTGAAGGTCATGTATGATACATGAAGTTATATATTTTTCCTTGAGCTGCTTGTTTTTACAAATATATACGGAGTACAACAGAATATGTTTTTAGCCATGTATTTTATGATTCATAAAAATTGAAAAGATACAATTTTGTCAAATATAAAGCATCCCCATGTGATAGAACTGTAGAGTTTTTGAACCATAAAGTCTTGAGCATATTTATGAACCACAGGGAGTACAGGGAGTAAATGACAAACAATCCTGACATAAGAGTTAATATCAATATTCATAAAAGCCAAAGTCCTACAAGCACTACATCACAAAAAGAAACCCAGAGTAGAGTGAAATAAAAATCCCAACTTCCAATTAGCTTATGAACAAAGAAAGAAGGGATAAAGAACCCTCAAGTAGCTCTGATTCCTTTGAATTATCTAATAATCAACGCCTAGAGAAAGATTGTGCAGGCAGAAAGTGAAAATTGCATTTTTCGCCCACCCAAACTAGTTGCAACTAGGGAGCACGCATACATTAATGTATAATTTAGAGCAGACATACGTCCTGGGAATAAAGAAGGTTTCTTTATTTGCCTAATTAAATAACTAGTACGAATGGGGAAAAAACTTGAAATAGGAAAGCTTTGCTAAGAGCTTCATGTACCATTGACAAAGTAAGAGGATGACGGCCAGCCACGATCAGTGGTGAAGGACATAACCTCATCTTCTGATAGAGAATTAGACAGCTTCTGAACAATCTCGGCAATACCGTAAGAGCCGTGACGAGGTGGAACCCAATACGATGCACCGGGAACAAAAGGAAGCCAATCGGGAGCAGATCTGCGAACTATAATACGGTGGATGGCGTCCTCAATCCGCTGCACCGCAATTGCCTCCGCATCGGAGACGTCGCCCGACGCATTCTTGACGGAGCTGTCGGGAACACTCGAAATTCGCCGAGAAGATATCACGATTATCGAAGAAACTGACGCAGATGATGTAAATCTGGCGCCAGTAATTGGTGCGTAGCTTGTTCGGATGAGATTTAGGGTTTGAGGGATGGAACGAGCCATGGAAGAATGGAGACGGTGGCGTTTCTAAACCAGTACAAAATGGTAAAGCTGATGGCTTTGGGGTATTGGCCGGCCACAACAACAACAGTTCTGCCGTAGCTTTTATGGTTAAGGATATGGTTAACGACATCCCAAGTAGGGATGGGCCGGATGGCAAAGGGTTGATAGGGGAAGGTTTTACTTATAACCGTATCGGTCCCTTTGGGTAATTTCCCCGCCTCGTAACAGCCCATTACTCGACGGGTAATTTTTACCCAAATCATAATCACTCTAACGGGTAACGGGTAAAACTTCGGGTAACCGTGGGTAACCACTTTATTAATTAAGTCATTAAATTTTGATACAAAAACTAATATTTTAAAAAGCGAAGAATGACATCGTCTAAGTCACTCTACACTTCAGATGCCGCCACTTTAAAGACTCGTATATCTACAAGACGAGAAATGAAGCAACTTAAATTAATTTGAACCTAAAAATACATTGATAGAGTATATAGACTCGGACCCCCGGGTCTCACTACTATTGGGCCTAGACAGCGGCCCACACACGCTTATCGAATGTCTTTTGTATTATTGTACTGTTCATATATCATCTGTATATACTAGATTAGTCTTTTATGTAGTTGGGCCTATCGGGCCCATTTTAGTGGTCCGATCCATTATTTCTCTATTTATACTCTTCTTGGAGTCACTTGTAAACCCTGTAACACAACTCCTACCATTTAGAACATAATTACTCATTCACACTCTACTATTCATTCATCTTCTTCACTTTCTTTAGCTCAAATCTCCCCAAATTATATAGATGATACCCTATAATCCATCAATGGTGCTTTCATTGAGAGTTTGAGCAAAATCAAGTGAGAAATCTTCCCAAAAACATCCAAGAAATCATCCAAAATACAAGAAATCAGTCGAAATCGATCTGAAAATTTCCATCAAGTTCGAAGAAGATAAGCTAAAATTTTCGAACTGGAAATCTCTGGATCCGAGTTGGAACTGTGGCTGATGGCGTGCGGGCTGAACTTCGCCGTTGTTGCTCCATATCTTCCTGCCATGGCGGTAGATCTCGTCGTTGCCGTTGCTCCGGCAGTCATTGTGTGTTGTTTGAGGCTGGGCTGTCCTTCCATTCTCGCCGCCGTCATCCAGGTCTCTTATGGCCAGTGGTGATGAAGACATCGACGTCACACCAGACGCCATGCTGCAAATCTACGGACCAAAGAGCCCACAGCTAGCTCCATCACGTTCGAGCCCTGCTCCTGGTTGCTGCGCTACTGTCCTGCACTGTCGCAGCTTGACGGTTGGAGTCTAGACCACAGTTACCATTTGTTGCGGTTGCTGGAGCCCGAGCTCAAACATCCTCCATTAATGGCTACCTGGAAGCTTTGCTCATAGTCCAAACCTCACTGTGGGAATTTCCTGCAGAATGCTTTGGCCCTTCGCTTCTCCGGCAGCAGTGACAGAGGTATCTTCCCCTCTCAAACTTTGGTTTGCCTATCTTATTCGCAAGAAGGAGAAGGATTTGTTGTATGGGTCTCAGTTGAGCCAGTCAACTTCTCAGTTGGCCCAATCAACTGTTGAAGGTGCGTGGAAATTTTCTTCCAAGATGGGAGCAGTAGGTAAGGCTACGCTCATAATGATGATGGGCCACAATTTCGACAGTTCGTTACCTCGGCCCAATTCAAAGATAAGTGTTCCAAAACTCCTTCCATTTATTAATTTCCAGCAATAAATTTGATAAAGAAAATTACAGAACAAAAAAATCATAAATGAAATATTTTAATAATATAGCATCAAACTTCAATCTCGAGGGGCGAGTAATCCGTGAAAAGACTCGTAAATAGCGTCTAGCGGATCCCAGCTACGAACTTGAGTGACAAGTTGAGCTAGATTATTAATTTACTATCATTATTTTTTTAAATAGTGTGTATTTTTTGACATTGAAAAAACGGGCTTATGAATTCCGAGCACTCGCGTACACCGGGCGAACACAATCACTCGCGCCACCGAGTCACGTCAAACGAGTGTGGATAGTAAGCTCCCAGTCCAAATGTTATCAAATGCATACTTTAGTTTCTATGTTTTGTATGAGTTATGTGTGCCCTCTAGCTATCGGAAATGTTTTCTATGTTTATATGCCCTCTTAGTCATCTTTATTTGATGACTATGACTACCTATCATGCCGAGCTACGAAGATACGAGGACCGATCTTGGTCATCCTTTTAGCAGATGCCGATGGTTGCAGTTCCACACCTAGGCCGAAGGGCTCACCCCTTTTGCTTCATTTTGGGGTCATCCGGTGTACTCTTTTTCTCTCATTGGGATTTTTTCCCACTGGGTTTTTTCCTAATGAGGTTTTTAACGAGGCATCTCCCCAACGTGGACAAAAGGTGTCGACCCTCGGCCCCCTATTGAAGACATCACGAGACATGCACCATTCTAATCATGTTCACCTCACTACATTCACCTCAAGGAGTGGGGGACTGGAAGAGCGGGGGACTTAGCGCCTCCGTTAACCAAAGAAATAGAAATTCAAATATTTTCACAAAGTTTACTCACCAGACGACGACAGATCAGCGCACCGTTCTACTCCCTTTCGCCTCGAGTACTCTCGACTCAGGGAGTGGGGGACTCCTGATAGAGTATATAGACTCGGACCCCCGGGTCTCACTACTGTTGGGCCTAGACAGCGGCCCACACATGCTTATCGAATGTCTTTTGTATTATTGTATTGTTCATATATCATCTGTATGTACTAGATTAGCCTTTTATGTAATTCGGCCTATCGGGCCCATATTAGTGACCCGACCCATTATTTCTCTATTTATACTCCTCTTGGAGTCACTTGTAAACCCTATAACACAACTCCTACCATTTAGAACATAATTACTCATTCACACTCTACTATTCATTCATCTTCTTCACTTTCTTGAGCTCAAATCTCCCCGAATTATATAGATGATACCTTATAATCCATCATATATAATCTAAAAAATAATTAATCACGAAAAAAATATGATAATAAAAAAACTATTAAAATCTATTATGAACTTTCATTTATACATTATAGTTAGTACATCATCTATTATCTATATATACACGATGGTGAGAAAAAAAATCTCATCTTTTAATAGTTGTGAAACAAATAATAGATAAAAATATAACTACAAATAAACGGGGCGGGTATGGAACAGGCATGTATAAAACCGTAACCGCCCCATTACCCGTAAAAACAAAACGGGTATTCCCCGTCTCATACCCGTTTCCCAGTCAATGCGGTTTTCCCCATTTTGACCGGGGTGATTCGGTGCGGGTATCTATCGATTCGGTCACAATTGCCATCTCTAATCCCAAGTACCATTTAAGGATAAACATATATTTTCGGGCGAAAAATAAAAGTAATATGGCCCAGAATATTACTTCCAGAGTTCTAATTCTAACAAAAATACTTCGTATGAAGTTGTTATTTGTTGTGAAATAGAAGATGGAAGATTAGATTTGTGTGATATATATATTAATACTTTTTGCGTCCCTTAAAACTTGACCAAGTTTTGCCGGCATGAGAATTAATAAAATAAAAAATGTGTAGTTGACATTTTGTGTAAGGGGGAAGAATTAACTGAAACCACAAATTCTTTACTTAAAAAGAAAAGTGTCAAAGTTAGTGGGACAACCAAAAAAGAAAGTTGACAAAGTTTCAAGGGACAAACGGAGTAATAATTTGTACATTACTTTTTTAAATCTCAAAATTTATGAGTGAATTTACAATGCTTCATCAAGCTCCTATTTATAGTGTTTTTGCTTGACGGATAGTCATCTAAAGGATGAATCTACGAATTTGGTGAGAACGACAAATTGAGTCATTTGTTCTGACTATGTTACAAGGATCATTACAAGGATCGGGAATAACTTGGTGTCCTAATGATAAATATGAACAATTCACACTTGTCATTTCCTAGATTTTACGACACTTCCCCTTGAATGGTCATCCTTGAATAGGTATTTGTTGTGTTAAAAATTTATTATGAAAAATTAGTGTGAAAATGAAGGGGTAAATATTACGACTTATAACGTCGTTGTATTTGGATGCAGTGCCTCATTAAAAACCTTTTCAGGAAAAACCAATGAGATAAAAACCTGATGAAGAAAAAAAGAGTGCAGCGCATTCAAATACTCCCCCCTGAAATTAACATAAATTTTGAAGGCAGCACATCCAATTTTCAATAAAAGTTCTATGAACTTCTTCGGGGGGTAAAGATTTGGTGAAGAGATCGGCCGGATTTTCAGTGGGTCTTCCTTTCTTTCTCCTGATCATGAGAAGAATTTTGGTGATATGTGTTTCGTTTTGTCTCCTTTGATGTAGCCTTATTTAATCTGAGTTATTCACGCGGTGTTGTCTTCGTAGATCACAATAGGGTGAAAAGTAATTGGTTTCATATTGCATTCATTTTGGATTTGTTGAATCGTAGATCGCAGCCACATGGATTCTCTTCCAGATTCATATTGTGCAATTAACTCAAAATGATTTGATGATGTAGTTGTCAATGTCTTCTTCATAGATCTCCACAAGATTGTGGGGTTACCATAACTAAATACGTACTGAGTTTGTGCTTTTGCCTTTTGAGGATCTGATAAGTATCGAGCGTCTACATATCTGATGAAAGTGGCTTTTGCATCTTTGTGGTAGAATAGGCCGAGATCAAATGTACCATAGAGATAACATAATATGAGCTTGATCCCGTTCCAATAACGCCTTGTTGGGCATGAGATGTACCTAGCTAATAAATTTACAAAAAATGCAATATCTGATCTAGTATTATTAGTTAAATACATTAAAGCTCCAATAGCACTCAAATATGGTACTTCGGGACCGAGTATTTCTTCATTGCCTTCTCAGTTACGGAATGGATCATCTTGTATGTTGAGAGATTGAATCACCATTAGTGAGGTCAACGGATGAGCTTTGTCCATGTAGAACCGCTTCAAAACTTTCTCGTTGTAATTGGACTAATGGATGAAAATTCCATTCTTCAAATTCTCAATTTGAAGTCCGTGAAAAAATTTGCTTCTCCCAAGATCTTTCATTTCAAATTCTTTCATAAGATATTTTATAGTATTCTCA